TTACTGCCCCGCCTGCCAGCCTAGTTGCCCCCAACTGCCCCCCTCTGCTGGCCTGGTTGCCCCTCACAGCCCCCCTGCCAGCCTGGTCACCCCACACAGTCTGCTTGTTCAGTTGTTTGGTCACCCCTCACTAACCCCCCTGTGGGCCTGGTTGCCCCATGCAGCCTGCTTGTTCAGTCATTTGGTCGTCCTTCACTAAGCCCCCTGCTGGCCTGGTCATAGGCAGCCATCTTGTGAGGGAGTGAGGGTCAATTTGCATATTGCCTCTTTATTATATAGGATGACTGCCAGTATGGAGGGATGCTCAGGGTCTCTTCCGAAACTTTGTGAAATAGGCTCCAGGCCCCACCCTAGATTTTTTTTTTTATCCAGGAGGTCTGTAGTGGGACCCTGTGTTTGGACTTTTCAAATTGCCCAAGTGATTCTGATTAGAACAACTTAAGTATAACCCCATCTTGATACAGGCCTCCTAAACTCCACTCTAGTGGAGGACAAGGGTTAGTCTCTTCACACTGCCTAAACAACGTATGCCCTCTTTTTCCTCAGGGAGATTCTGGAGGCCCCCTTGTCTGCAAGCTGAACAATACCTGGTTTCTGATGGGACTGTCCAGCTGGAGCTTGGCTTGCCACCAGCCCATAAGCCCCAGCGTCTTCACCAGACTCACCTACTTCTCCAGCTGGATCAGTGAGAAGCAGGAAGCCTCACCAAATCCTGATCCTTCTTCTGCTCCTCCTCAGAGCAAACCTCCTGCTTTGGATGACTTTAATTCTCTGGGCACTGTTCACAAGCCCAGGAGCTGCACAACCCTTGTGTTTTCACAGACCTTCCCTCTGCTGCTGGTTTCCCTCAGGGCTCTGTGACAGACCACATGGTGCCCCTCTCAAGTCCTCACCCACAAGCATGCCTGCTTTAGTGCCAATGGGCCCTGCATTCTCCTAAATCTGTCCATCTCTGAGCTCTCCTGTCCACCCGAGGCCTGCTCTAGGACTGACAAAATAAAAATAATTTAACAACTTCATGCTCCTGTTTCTGATCTATCAGAGCCACACACCAACCCCACCCCATTGGGCTCCAAGCTCCTCAATACAGGAAGGTCTTCCTTCTCCCTGGACTGAGGTGGAGAAATACGTACTAAGACAATGAGTGGCTGGCTGGCTGGCCATCTGGAGATGAGTCATTCTCCTCAGGGAGACTTCCAGAAGAGCTGACAGACTCAGAGGCCAGGGCCTCACCCTGTGAAGGAAATGGCATGCCCTAGGACCTATAGGGCACTGATGGCCAATATAATGGGAACAAAGTCCTCCTAGAGATGGACTCTGAGTTGGGGATGAAGAAGAATCTTCCAGGCCCAAAAGTCACAGAGGCTCTATTTGAAGTAGACTGTTCAGGGTCCCAGCCAGCAGTTTTCAGAGCTTTGCTCTAGGAACCAGCTCTTAGCCAATCCCTCCATACCAATAGCCTTGTCCTCCACAAGTCTCCAGGGACCAGGCCCACCATCTCCTGTGGATTTGCCATAGCCTACAGTGGTTGAGGGTTAGCTAACCCAGTACTTGCTGATCCAGCACTGAATCCATAAGCCATGTCCTAAGCTGCCCCCTGCAAACATGTCTGGGTCATAGACTCTTTTTTTTTTTTTGAGTTTTCAACAGTTACAAATCTGAAGCCTCTGTTTGTTTACTAGTATTTCCTTTGTCTCTATAAAACAAAACCAACAATGTTTTTTTATTATTCTTGTGTTTATCAAAATGACACATGTTCATAAACAAGCTTATTTTTTATCTTTAAAATTTTTTATAAACATAAAGAAATAGAGAAAAATCGAGAATAACATAATAAATACCTGTGGTCTCACCTTCCAGAATTACAAATCCTAACATATAGTCATTTTTGCTTCAGTTTTAAAGTAAAATTAAAGTTTTCTTTTGCTGATTCCATGCTTCTCCTTCCTTTCCCAGAGGCAACCAATGCAGATTTCCCATGTCTCCTTCAGACCTAGCCATTCTCAGCCCTGGCTGCACATCAGGATCACCTGGCAATATTTGAGAAACCCCTGGTGCCTGGGTCTCATACCAGACAAATTGGGTCATAGACTCTTAACTAGTTAGCAGAACTCTCACAAGGGCCTCACAAACACAGCTCCCCACCCTTGACAATGTGGGAGCAGCCCCCAGTTGTTGCAGTGTCCAAAGTGCCATCAGGTATTCTGTGCAAATTCTTTCCAATCCTGTTGTCACCCAAATAGTCCAGACCCTCACCAGTAGGTGAGAACAGGTGAAGTCACATGCACACAGTCACCAGAATCTTGCTGGCTCTAAGCCCTATACCAGGGGTGGGCAACTCCTGGCACGTGTGCCAAACATGGCACGCCAGTAACTTTTGCTGGCATGCGAAACCCTCTCTTATAATCTTCCATTTATAATTTTTTTCTTAATATCGACTTTTATATTTTTCAGATAAATTCAGTGTAGGTGCATCTTAGATAAAGAAATAATTTTACATAACAAGTTATCTTAAAGACCACAGACATGAATTGACGAGAGAGGGGAAGAGCAATTTCTATGCATCTGCCTTAACTCTCCCTGCCTTCCTAGATCCGATCAGTGTTTTGGTTTCAGCCTTAGACACAATGGGTTTTTGTTGACAAAACAACCGCCTCACCTACTTATTCAAAATTTCACTCTATAAAAATGAAACCTTCTCTCTCACTTTGCCCACCGGTACTAACGAAAGGGGAATAAATTTCTATGTTTCTCTCGGCAGCAAAAGTCCCACTGTTAATATCAAACAGAGTCATAAAGTTTTCTGTCCGACTATCAGTGTACATGTATACATTAAAAAATAAATGTATTTTTCATCATCATATAGTGTGTTTTTGTCGCTCGAATGAATTTTATTATTTCTTCAAGGTTCTTCACATACATACATCTTAAGAGATATCAAATAGGCGTAACATGTTCTCAAAAAATTAGGGTTGGCATGCAGAAGAATTTTGAGTCAGAGATTTTGCTGGTTTTGGCACACACTCACAAAAAGGTTGCCCACCCCTGCCCTATACCCCACATGCAGAGATTTTATTTCCAGCTCAGCAGTGTCTGGAAGTGGGAAGAAAAGCATTCCTTCTCTGACGGTAACCTCAGTTATGGGGCTGGTCAACATTTGGTCAGTTCATATTTGGAGCATTGGCCACCCACTCTCCCTAGAATGGCCACTTTCCTTTCAATCCATGGTAGCCCTTATGCTGGATCCTTCTCATAGTGACCTCTGCCTGTTCATCAACAGCCATGCTTCTTTGTGGAGCATGGAGTGATGTGAGTGCTTGCCCCTTGATGGAGTTACTTGGGCACCCCTAACTCAGTGAAAGAAAATACATCTCCCGTCCACTCTGCAGATCTGCCAAGTCACAGCTCTACTTCCCTGATGCCTGGAACAAGCCTCAATGCTCAGTACTTTTATCTAGGTTTGGTCTCTTTACAGATCTGGACCCAAGGCCTAGCATGGTTAAGTAACTTGTCTGGTCACATGCGTAATAAACAGAAGAATAGGAATTTTACCCAAATCTCTTGAGAGAGCTCAGAGGTCTTTGTTCTTCTTTGTAATTCAAGCCATTCCCAGGTGCTTCAGGCCCTGACTAGCCCTCTCTCAGGCTACCTTTGAGAGGCTTGAGCTAATGTGTCCAAAGTGTGGACAAGAATTCCTTCTGGTCAGTGGCAAGGAAAGACCCCAAATAACAAGACTGAGGTCGGAGTGCAGAGTAGATCTGCAAGGTAGTGAATCTGAGCTAGAGGGTGGACTAGAAGTGGCCCCTGTAGTGGGTTTCATCAGGAGCTCCCAATGGGCTGTGGCTCCCACCCCAACATTAACCCTGAATGAGTTTGGAGGTGAGAAGAAAATTTAGATTTCAGAAACCAAAATTAATGAGAAAAACCTGAAGAAAGAGGAGGTTATCATGAAGTAATCTATAGCTGGGGGAGAAGGAAGGTCTGTAAGAAAGCCCACTCCCTATGCTCTGGTTCCTTCCCACCCCCACATTATCATAATAAATGCAGCCTGATACTTCTCAGGTGCCAGTGTGTTGCAGTGTGATTATGTCAACTGTTGTGTAGGTCCCTTAGATTATCAAATGATTTCTCAACAGAAACACATCAGGCCAGAATGGAATGGAACAAAGTACACAAAACGATGCAAAGCAAGGGACTGAATCCAAGAATACTCTATACATCAAGGCTATCGTTCAATATTGAAGGGGAAATCAGGAGCTTTGCAGACAAAAAAAGGCTAAGGGAGTTTATCACTACCAGCCAGCAATGCAAGAAATGCTAAAGGGACTATTGTAAAAAGAAGAAATAAAAAGGGAAAAGAAAACACAGGTATAAAGAATAGAAATGGCTACAAACAAGTACCTTTCAATAATAACCTTAAACACAAATGGACTAAATGCTCCAATCAAAAGACATTGAGTGGCTGAATGGATAAGAACAGAGGACCCATAGATATGCTGTCTACAAGAGACCCACCTCAGAACAAAGCACTCACACAGACTGAAAGTGAAGGGATGAAAAAAATATGTTTTAGGCAAATAGAAATGAAAAAAAAAACACACACACACAAAAAGGCTGGGGTAGCAATACTTATATCTGAAAAAATAGACCTCAAAGTAAAAGCCATAACAAGAGATAAGAAAGGCCACTTCATAATACTAAAGGCATCAATACAACAAGAGGATATAACTCTGGTAAACATATATGCACTGAATGCAGGAGAACCCAAATACATTTAAAAAAAACTCCTAGAAGACATCAAGGGAGAGATTGACAGCAATACAATCATAATAGGGGATTTTGATACCACATTGACATCACTGAATAAATCCTCTAGCCCAAAAATCAGCAAAGAAACAGCAATCCTAAACAAGTTACTAGATCAGATGGACTTAATCGACATCTTCCTAACATTTCACCATGAAGCTACAGAATATACATTCTTCTCAAGTGAACGTAAGACATTTTCAAAGATAGACTCCATATAGGGACACAGGCAAAGTCTTTTCAAATTCAAGAAGATTGAAATCATATCAAGCATCTCAGATCACAATGGCATATTAGAATAAATTACAATAAAAACAATAAAAAAATTCATAAACTTGGAGGCTAAATAGCATGTTATTAAACAATGATTGGGTTACCAAAAAGATCAAAGAAGAAATAAAAAAAAATCCTGGAAACAAATGACAATGAAAACACAACAATCCAAAATCTATGGGACACAGTGAAAGCAGTCCTGAGAGAGAAGTTCATAGCATTACCTCAAAGAACAAGAAAAACTAGCAATAAATTACCTAATTGAACAACTTAACAAATTAGAAAGAAAGAAGAAAAGCCCAGAGTGAGCAGAAGAAAGAAAATAATAAAAATCCGAATGGAAATAAATGACATGGAGATTTAAAAAAATGATAATACAATGAAACCAAGAGCTGGTTCTTTGAAAGGATAAACAAGATTGATGAACCTCTAGCCAGGCTCACCAAGAAACAAAGAGAGAATACCCAAATAAACAAAATCAGAAATGAAATAGGTGAAATAACAACAGACCCCACAGGATACAAAGGATTGTAAAAAAAAAAATACTATGAACAACTCTATTCCAACAAACTGGTCAACCTAGAAGAAATGAACATATTCCTAGAAAAGCATGACCTTCTGAAACTCAATCAGGAAGAATAAAAAAATCTAAATAGGCTAATAACTAAGGAGGAAATTGAAGCAGTAATCAAAAAACTTCCAGCAAACAAAAGCCCTGGGCTAGACAGCTTCACAGGGGATTTTTACCAAACATTTAAAGAATAAAACCTCTCTTCCTCAGA